GTTGCCTGGTCTTGACCTTGGGATGTGCCAAATCTCCGAGCTCAGCAGTCCCCTGTTGATACGACCTGCCATGGGTTTGCATGGCAGGTCATGTCAACAGTCCATGCCATGGACTCATCTGGCAGGGCTTGCCAGATGTTTCCAACCCCTGTTCTTCTGAAATGTGAATGGCTCAGCTTACAGTGCCCTCTCCCTCCTTTTCCTTTCAAGTTGGTCCCCTTCTTGGCTTGCCAGACCCTCGCAGTCCTTCCTCCTTTCCATCCCCTGTAGAGACATTGCCTTGCCTGGGCACTGAAAACACAAAGCCTTCATGGCTCTGAGGCTGCGTATTGAACCTCACCAAACTGCTGAGGTTTGCTGAGCACAAGGCAAAAAACAAAGAGTTTGGAACCGGGCTAAAAGGAGATAATTGGTGTATTAGCTGCTAAACAACTTGCTATTGGATGGATTGAACTTGTGGGGCCTAAGGCTGCAGCAAGAACTACCCATATGAACACCTTATTGCACAGAAGAAATGAGTAGAATTGTTTTCCTTGTATTAAAGTCCTGTAAGAATTCAGAGAAGCAAAATGAGGTAACCCTTGCACAGACGGAGCTGCTTAGCGTTCTGTGACCTGATTGTAGAACCATTCAGTGCTGCACGACTCAGGGTTCCCAGCATCAGAAGGGGCATAGGAATATTTGCACTATCCACTCTTTCTTTATAGTGTTACCTCTGATAAATAGCATATTAAATGGTACTTTGCAATCTGGATGCCTTTCTTACTGAGATCATAATGAAACAGCATTTCTTAGTGCAAAACACTGACACCAGCTGCACAACTAGTTGTTGACCCACAGGATCCATCCACTCCTCCTCAGGCCCTTCCCTGTCACTGCCAGGATCAAGGAGAACCTCTCTTGGGCTTTCAAGCCCTTGCCCCTTGTCCTCTAAGCTGTGTAGTCCTGTTTGACGTACTCCAGGTCTCCCCCAGAAGTATTGATTTTTGCCCACATGGAAAAGCAGCAGGGAGTAATAGTCTGAGGGGAGGATAAGTATTAGCAATCTTTCCACAGCATGAATACCACCCCCTGGCAAACAGCAAACCTGCCTAAATGATACATCAGGTTGGCAGATGGGGGCCTCAGTTCCCTGCAGAAGAGAATTGTCCCCTGAGGCAGAGGTGGCCCCAACAAAGAGAAGCTCTAAAGGCCACGTTTAAGAAACTTCCACTTACCAAGAGTCTGTCTATGAGATCCAGAAGGGAACCACAGCAGCAGGTTAGCACCTCAGCTCTGTACTACTTTGGTAGATGGACTTCAATGATGCAGCTGTTCTGGCACACCACCAGGATGACTGAAGACCTAGCTCCCCTGCGGTCTGCAACATGCCAGCACTGTTGCACCTGCATGGAGCCAGCAGTGTTCTATCACCACTCAACCCACATGCCTAGCAGAAATATGGGATGTTCTCCTGCCCATATGGCTTTGCCAGAAGAAATATGAATGGCAATGGCAGCTCTGTGGTTGCATTGCTACATATCAGTTGCAGGAGAGCTTGAACTACACAGGCAGCCTTGTTGAAATGATATATATTGCCTGCTTCCTGCCAGAACTGCCTGAACTTCTAGCCTCGTACACAGGCATGGGTAGGCATTTGGACAGAACAGGGCTGCAATTGCTGTACAGCATTGTTTTGGCATAGGCAAGAGCTTCCCTCATGGAGTTATGCTTATTTTGTTGTAGGGCACTTGAATGCTTGTGTAGGAAGTACAGGTGCTTGTTCTTACGTGGATACAAGTCACCAATAACTCCATTGTTTGGAACTACCAAGAGCAGGGTTGATACACTCCCATTAAGAGTGTGATAGTGTCTGTTACTTGGACAGTTTTCACTCACTGCTTTCATTTGCTCTAATAACCCTTTGGTGGTTTCAGTAGCTGTGGAGGGATGGCCAGAAACCTCAGCACTCCAGGAGCAAAACCCACAGCGCTCGGAAACAGGCTTGCTTTTCAGAGCTGCAAAACAAGTCTCACAGTTTTGGAAATGACTCATAATGCTGTGGCTCTGCGGCACAGCCACATTATATGGCTTCCACATCAGCCACTTTTCAGGCAGGAGGAAATGACAAAACTGATCTGTCCCTCAGCACGCTCATCCCAACCTTGCCCACGACCCTCAGTTTCCCTTCCTTCTCTGACCAGGTGAACAGTGTCGTGCAGTAGCGTGGCTTCCCAACAGCCAGCACAGAAAGAAGGGAAGATGAACCGGCAAGGGTCCTCTGGAGGGAGATGACCCATGGCACTTTTGCATGTAACATTGATAGAGCACATTGGATTATTTACAGAAGTTAATAAAAAAGGGCTTTTTTTTCCCTTTTATTTTTCTTTTTCTTATCCTTTTCTGTATCCTCTGAATGGATATCAAACTGCAGAGAGCACAAAGTGTTGCTGCATTAATTTAGAATGGAAGACTGTGTATGACTGTGCTGAGGTGTTTTCTGAAAGCAGGGTGCAGTCCTGTCTCTTTCCCACTTTTGCTTCTCTTTCTTTCCCCAGTAATGCCTGACATTTCTTTCTGTCTCATGCCGACGATGCCATCAATAGACATAGTGCTTGCGAGCAGCAGAAAGGAAAACAACTTCCTTTTCTACCTGGGTTGATATCTGAGCAGATGGGACAAAACCAACAGGGCATGGCACCACTTCCTACATAACAAGATTCCCACTGGGGAATTTCTAAGGCTTGCAGAGCAAAACTGAGGGAGTGGGGAGAACTGGCTGTGCTTTCCCCTGCAAAAAGAGGCAATATGCAGGGGAATGAGGTATAATCCCAGGGTGTCTTTCCAATATGGCTCTTCTGATGTTTTCCCAGCTGAAAACAACATCTCAAACACTGGGCATCACAGGGTTTCTTGAGGAAAACCAGAAGCTAGCTCAAGTTTGAACCACCACAGATTTATTTGGGTTTTTTTCTGCAGTCAGACCATGTTTTCAGTGTAAGTATTCTCAGAAGTGAATGTCACTGTGGCTGCTTTCCTATCCTCAGACCCAAGTTCCTTTCCAAAGGAAAAGTTTGTGTGCCAAGGAGTGGTGAGCATCCAGGTCTTGTTCTGACAGGCAGTTGGGATGTGGCCAGGATGTCCAGCTGGAAATGAGGACTGCAGATGCCATCATGAAATATGCTAGTCTGATAAACTTTTTGTCCTTTCCAGCCAACCTCCTGGCTCAGTATGCAGGGATTGTCCTTCTGAAGCTTTCTGAAAGCACTATACCTGACATACAGTCTTGTATTGTCTTGCTATGACATCTGCTGCATCTGCATCAAGACAAACTTGAGACATAATGCCTGTTTCTCATACGCTCAAGAAAGGTACATCTCTCAGATAAATCCATATTGAAGAATACGTTAAGAGGAAGGCTTTTGCTTTATTCTATATCTGTGCAAACATGTATTGTGTACAGAGTCCATCTCTGCCTAAAACCTGAGTGCTGCTGTTGGGATGGACTAGTCGAGGGCATTGGCTTTGCTCAGAGACATGACTGAAACTCTTGCTCAGACTTTCACCACTTATCCTTCAACAGTGGCTGCACAAAGCAGGGACAGGGATTGTACAACTAATGTAAAACAATGGGTTCACACTCTGTGCCTGTATGTGTGTGTTTGCATACAGGAACATACAGGAACTGAAGGAACTTCCCTTCAGTGATTCTGCAGGCAAACCCAGTATCATCTCCCAAGATCCCTCTTTTGTGAGGACATCTCAGGAAAAACTGTGTTCCAAATTTGGGGCATGGAGACTGTTTCTAGCTAGTTACGTTTTCTTGCAAACCAGTCTTACGGTGTGAGTTTTGCTCTGCCCTATACCACCTTCCCGGAACTAGAACTGTGGCTGCCTTTAAAATTTTCTGTAATACATTAGTCACTCTCTGTGTGTCTTATCTAACCCTTCTTCTTCCTCAAAACCCTGCTGCTGTGGTTTCCATAAACGAGTTGGGGAAAACTGAAAAGAGAAGTCCATTGCAATGTTTTTGCTTGCTGTCACGTTGGACAAGGCAGCAAAATGTTCTCCATTGTGAAAAGATCCCAGCAGCTTTAGAAAATAGGTGGCCAAGACCTTGTAAGAGCTGAGCTTTTGGTCCCATGGCTAAACCAGAAACCTGGCAAATTGCTTCTTATGAAAATGACACAAATCCATGCTCAGATTTTTGATGAATTAAAAAGAAAAAAATCATACCTGATTTTTCAGGTTGTATTTTTAGTCCCAAAATGAAAACTCCCCATTTCAAGCAGCATGGATATCACTGTTGAAAGGGAAGAATATACACGGCAGAGGTTTGGGGAATTTCAGGGAAGCAGAGCACTTGTTCAAGACTTCTGTGTGTTTGATATACAGCGATGCCTCTTACAGGGGTCTTCTGCCTTTTTCTCACATTATAAATCCCTCCTGAGGAAACTCTGGCTTTTATCCTTCATGTGATATTTGATTGCTTTCTCTCCCTTTCATTGCCATGCTTAATCCTGCCACATATCTCAGTAGGATCTTCAAAACCCATCTCCTTCCTGCTACATCCTGAGCAAACAGTTGTTGGCACTGACTGCTACACAGCCTGCTCTGTTGCTTCCCTGATGCTCCAAAAGTATTCAGAGCCTTTCTCACATGCTCTGCAGATGAACACTAGACTTTTCCTGCTCCTGGCCACTCCAGCACACTCACAGTAATATTCTTACCTGGAGGTGCCAAACACTGAAAAGTTAGAACCTTCGTGCAGGGAGGAGGCTGGGTTGGAGCTGGGTGCTGGGTGCTGGGACTTGTCAGAAGACAGCCTCATGCATTGAGCAGATTTAACATTTACTGATACGGGATTTTTAACTTATCAACACAAAACCTGCTGAAGGAAGAAGGAAACATTAAAGATAAACCATGAATAATTGTTCCCTTCAGGAGTGGGGGCCAAGCATGCTCCAATGCATGCTCTTCTTTCAACTTCTGCTCCAGTGATTCGTAGGACCAGTATCCTTTCATGGAACAGAGAGGGCCTTTTCCACATCATTGACATACTGACTGGACAAGGAATCAAGGAAAGTACTGGAGGATCAGGGCACTCATCTGTGAAGGAGGACCGTGAAAACGGGTACAGTAGGTACTTGACATCAGCCTGAGCATTTTCATCCAGGACTGATCTCAATCTTGGAAAGAGATGCAGGGGCACAGGCTGGGAACCGAGGTCCATCAGATCTGAGATTCTGTAGGGGGCTTGCTCACCTTGCATTGCAAGAAAAAGCATTTGTGTGAGCTCAGGCCAGCTTTTCATCAGGTATTTCATGAGCTGCCCTTTCTCAAAGATACTCCTTCAGCTCCTTCATCCAAAGTGGAATTTCTCTCCTCAGACAAATTTGACTGGCAGTTCACAAATTCGATAGCAACTTGTGAAGCAAAGGACATTATTCCAGTTACTGTAAGTGCTTGAGTCTGTGTTTCCCTTGACGTGAATTGCAGCACATTTTTCTGCAAAGAGTAAATTGGGTTCCCCGGGTTTCCAGAACCTGTAAAAGAAAGTTCCTCTATTGGGAATGTATTTGCATGCCTGACAGTGGGGGTGAAGTCACCTCAAACAGTTGTGGAAGAGAAAGGGGAAGATTACCGTGAGAGAGATCAGCAGTCATAGTTCTGACTGGAAAGCTAGTTGAGTTTGCTGACTTACAGTGCAGTTGGACACAGAAATCCCCCTCTGGCACATACCTGTTACACAGTTGGTCACTTGGACTGAGGGTTGTGAATTACATACAAGACCTTCCTCATTCCCCCTGCATACTCACGTGGTCGTCTTCTTATATGGAGTCTGATCCACCCACTGCCATTGCCCAGTGTTGTAAGCAGTTAGTCCTATGTAGTATTTTGTTTCATAGGCATTAGTAAATGCTCTTTTTGCCAAGTTGAAGAGGAAATCCTGGAAATGAGGAGAAGTGCAATGTCCATGAGATACAGGACTGAGCAGAAGGAGGCAGCAGGAGTCCCTGTGGAGCGGGGCTGGTGGCAGAGGGGAGCTGGTGCTGAAGGGATGCACAAAGGACATCCCCCCTCCCTTGCAGGACAAAGAGGGGCTGAGTCCCCTCCCGGGCTGGCGCTGGGGCTCTGGCTGCTGTGCCCCCTCTCAGCCCTGCACATACCTGCTCTGCTTCGCTGTTGATCACCACGAGGTGAGAGCCCATCCCAGTGCAGTTCTGCTCGCTGGCAGCCCAGGACATCGCATCACCTGAGATAAAGTAGCAGCTTCCTTGGAAGCGTTTCCAGCCCTTCGGGCAGCACGTCCAGCCCTCCTCTGTGTGTGGGGAAAATCCTGCTTTTGAACAAGATGTGCTGTCCTTCAGCCCCATGAGCTCAATGTAGGGTCCCAGATGTTAGGGTAGAGGTGTGAACCACACCTTTACCCTGGCCAGAGGTAAACTCTCTCTTCCATGCTCCACAAGTAAAGCCGTAAACAGCCTGACAGGCTTCTGTCACAATGCCCCTGCCTGAAGTGTCTTTCCCTTTCTCTGCCTGCTCTGCAGTGCCCATGCAACCTCTGTTTGGTGAGAAACAGTTTCTGCCTCACCATTGTTGAGGAAGCAAGGTGGAAAGTAGCTGGCTCATTCTCCTCTGGGAACACTCCATCAGAGAAGTGTTGTCCAAGTGTTTTTCTCTCAACTCATGCGGACTGAAGACGTGCACAGTAAACTGCTCTGACAGCCTGGCCACCTCCACAGGCAGTTCCTTGCACTAGCCGGGTTTTCCTACAGATCTGCCTCATAGCCAGAAAGTCGCATGATGGGTTAGAAGAACACAGGTATATTCTCTCAGAGCACGAGGCTACATGAGAACAGATCTCTGAACTGAGTTGGGGGATTTGCACTGCAGGAATTCAAGGACTTGCCATTGCTGTCATTTCATGTGTGATTTCAGCCCAGCTCTCCACCTACTCTTACAACATCCTCTTACCACTCCTCCTTCTGTCCCTCACACTGAACACGATGCTTGTGTGAACAGGCAGTGAGCCAGCACAGGGAGAGGAGCTGGATTGAACCAGCCCTTACAGCGGGATGAAGCACACCCATGATGTGAACTGGAATAGCAGTTAAGGAGTTGTATGAGGGCCAGTGACAGGGGAAGAGTACAAATGGTAGTCAAAGGTAGGTCTGGAACAAGCCACCCTCTTCCACTGCTCCAGAACAGGTTTTTATAGCATCCTAAGTAAACCTGTGCAATACCACATTGTCTTTCCTCAGTTCTCAAGCTTCCTTCTTTAAAACATTTCAGCTCTGGCTGACAGTCACATTCCCAAACTCAAAGGCTAACTGAAACCAGAGTAAATTTTGGTGAGTTTCATAGAGTTGCTTATGAAGCTCTCAGCATCACTCACTTTTGCCTGCAGATACGCTGGGGACGCAGCGCCACTCTGTAGCATTCTGGACCAGAGTCATGTACTGGCCATAGCTTCCATGAAGGAGAACAACTGGGAAGAGAAGAAAGAGAAGGAAAGTGCTACTGTCATCTTTTTGTCCTCATCCAGGAGCAACCTGTCCCAGCCTCTACCTTCTGGCTCTACCACAGAAACTATGTTAACGGCCTCAGATATCTGTGTGGAACAAGGAGCTGGAAACAGCAGGCCGTTTCTGCCACTATTGGTCACTCCTTCCTTTGAACAGGCATCAACTGGGTGAGCTCCTCTCACCTCTGCTGGCTGAGAGACTCATTTTCCCAGCTGACAAAATCAGCTTAGGCATCCTTTGAGGATGAGGTCATGAAAGGGTCAAAGAAGTCATGGGGTAAGCTTAATAATGGTGGAATACTAATATAAATTCCCTGTTAATCTTCCCAAGCATTGCAGCTTTAGAGCATCACTTTTACCCTTACCAAGAAGGCTTTGACACTGTTGAGTGTTAAGGCCTCACCCAAAGGAGTTAAGAAGCAGCACAGAAGAGTCATCTCAGAGCAGTATGATACTCCAGTACTCCAGGACAGTACAAGCAAAGGATTTCCCTTTTGTTTGCCCAGGCAGTGTGGGTGGGATGTGGCTGGAGCATTTTGGTGGGTTCACCCCCACCCTGCTAAAATACGGGCAGCCTGGTACCAGTATTTCCAAGAATATCACACTGGCTCCTTGGTTCCAATATTGTCACAAGGAGCTCTGAGAGAGAGAACAGCTCAGGAGAACCAGCCTCCAAGAGCTGGCCTTCAGGGAACCTGCTCAGATGTCCCCTGACACTAAAGAAACTTCTCAGCTCTTAGTGGGAGCTGGTTTCATCCAGGACTGGCTTTATTAAGGCAGGTGGGAAAGTGAGAGGAGCAGTGGGAAGGCCCTGCCAGGGAACAGACCTTAGCTGTGGAAGGGACCCTGCTCCCTGAGTAATAGGGCAGAGGTGGGAAAAGGGCAGCAGAACAGGCTGCTTTGGCAAAGGGCTAAATGCCTGCTGGCAGAAAGGCTGGGATATTGTTTTTCCACCTGACAAAAGGCAGTCAACTGCCTTCTTCATCCCGGGGGAATTAACAGACCCTGGAACCCACCAAGGCAGACGGTTACAATGGCGGTTTTGATGGCAAGGAGAGAAGCAATGAAGAGCCAGGGGTTCAGCCAGGAGCAGCATCTCTCTTCTGCTGAGGCTGAAAGACACAAGGCAGGAGTGGGAATCCCCCAGGCCGGAGCTGGGGCTCCGCACCCCAACAACCTGCTGCTTTCCTTGTTCCAAGGCAGGGGAGCCCCACAGATGCTGTAACCAGGTCCTGTTGTAAGCAGGTCCTGCTGCCCATCATTAGCAGTGGGTCAGACCCACAGAGTAGGGCAACTCAGGGGTTGCCCTGTAGCTGCTCTTGTATTTCAGTTTTTATCCCCAGTCCCGCCTGCACTTTTCCCAAACTGCACTCCTCTTTTCTTTGTTCTGTCACACTTCCTTTTCGCTCAACACATCTTCCTTGTTGCCCTCATTACCTCTGTCTTTCACCGGATTCTCTTTCTGTTCCTCCCTCCTCTTCATCTCTCTTTAGAGCTTCTTTCTCTCAGCTATCTTTATTTTGGCTCTATCCCCAAGGCCTTTTATGCAATAGCATATAGTCACTCAAAGGAGTGACTGCCCAGCTCAGTGTCTGCAGGGGCAGACACACAGAAGACATTGTTTCCTCAAGGAAAACAGGCACTTTGAATCTCTTGGGAGAGCCCTCACTTGGTTCTCCTTAGAGACACCAGAGATGGGAGCAGTGACTTGTTCCTAGCTTGATGCAGATAGTTTTACCTGGGTAATGATAATACGATAGCTCTCTTCAGTCCCATCATTTACCAAAAAAACCACTGAAGAGGATGGCAGACCATAGTCTGCCTGGACTCTCATTTCCCCTGGCTCTGGGAAAAAGATCACTGCTCCCAGCCTAGGCATTCCCCGCTTCCCTCGCCTGTTGCTTTGACGCCAGCCACTGTACCATACCCCTTATCTATCCCAGCTCTTTGCCCCCCACCTCCTCCATCCACAGGAGGACAGAAAGGAAGGCTTTGTGGTTACCTGCAGTTCCAGGACTGACTCTCCCATGGTGATTCATTATCTCTACCATGGTATCACTCTTCCTCAGGAGTCCACATTACCAATGTGGCCACAGATACAGCCTTCCTCCCGCGCAGAAGGCTGCACTAGGGTAGCTCACACACTGGTGAAGAGCCTTCATAGCCTCTAATCCGGTATGTGCAGAAAAAGCTGTAGCCTGGGTGTTCCCCACAGCACATGGAGGTGGGGGAATTTTCATTATTTCTCTGCCAGGATGTTTCACAAGATGCTCCTTGCAACACAGAAACTCACAGAGGGAAATGAAAACAGATGAAGAGTAGTACCATTCCGGCTCAACCAACCTCCTTTGGCACATTTTGAAGCAGTTTCATAGGACATGCTACTGGCCTTACATCTTTGGTATTTATTCTTTCCTTGCAAGTGAATATGTGTGTGAAAATGCCCACGCTGTTGGTATTTCGTAGCAAAGGGCTAAACCCACTCACAATGTCCTGCAAAAGGGAGTCAAAAAATGGTAAGAAAACATATCTGTGACTCAGTCTGGGCAAGTCCCTATGTGAAGCCTGAGCCCAGTAACCCAGAGCACAATGAAGAACTTGCCAACACTGTTTTTAACTGATTGCTCAGGAAAAGAGGATGGAGCTTTGAGTGGAGACATTGCATATGACCTGAGCTGGAGCTCAGAAGGGATCACTAGACAGTGGCAGAATGCCTGTGCATTACAGATCTTGAAGTTTTACTTGGCTACAGCTACAAAAGACACAGCCATACGTGGTGGTTCTAGCACTGCTCAAGGCGACTTGATTCAAAACCTTGCAGGTTTTGTCCCTAAGAATACCCGTGAGGGTAAGGAATCCCTACTGGATCTCATTGTTCTCTGAATGGACCGGAGGTAGACGGCCTTTGCTCTTCCATGCTCCATCAGCACTTTCTCCCTGTGAAAAGGCATGCATGGACGCACTGAGGAAGGAATGGATGCTATAGCACAAGTGTATCATTTGAAGTCTCAAAAGAGCAGCACACAAAACCGGTTACAAATGAGGACAAGCCTGAACTGTATGTGGAAGATATCCTCTGAATATGCTTTTTCATGCACAGCAGCCTGCAAGCAAGGTCAAACCATCTAACAGCTATGTTGCATTGGAAAGATGGTCCATACATGTGCTTGCTGGTATCATCGTACAAACTATAAGCTAATAGAAGCACAAGCTACTGGATTCAGAGCACAGCGAGATTCTCACATGACATTTTCAGAAGTTCCCAGCCATCATGCTGGAGAACAGCACTGAGCTGCACCACAGCGTTAAAAAATGAGAATGCATTGTGTTTGTCATTGCTCTAAAATACACTTGATTTTGTGCCTACGGGCAGGGAGCTGACTTCAGCTGATCAGCATGGCAAAGAAAGAGGGTGTGGAACTGTCAGAAGGAAAATGTGCTCAGTTCATGTGATTTAAATCTAGTCAGGATGGATCTAAGCAGTTTACCAATTAATTCACCACAAACCATTACCTGTATATTCAGGATCAGTATCAGCAACCCAGATAAAGCACAATACCAGATACAAAATGTTAACAAACAGCTACAAAGTTCTAAATGTCTTTAAGTAACTAATCCCCAAAAGCTCTAAGCCCCACATATGCACACATTCACTTGTGCAAATTCCCACGTCCCACCACAGCCACAGGAAGTGCAGGTTGCAAGAACACATCCCCTTTTCTAGAAGCAGTGGTTCCTCTATTCTTACGCACTTCCTACTGGAGGTGTAGGGTACATGTGTATCCACACCACTTCCTACTAATGCAGAGGCCAGTGAGAAAGCAGAAGGTCGCATATGCACACTGAAGCTGTGGGTCTGTACGTGTTGCACCCTTACTTCCAGGAATGCAGGCTGCCCACTGCGTTCAACAGGGAGGACGCTCCGTCCCAGACAGAGGTTGCAGGGTGACTGTCAAACCAGGTGTTGACTGTCCCTTCCTTCCTGCTTCTTTCTCTTCTCTCTGTTAAAAATGTTCTTGCTTCTTCTAAACTTTGGTTTTGGACTAATTATTGTCTCTCTTAAAAGCCTTTTGCCAATTCCCTGGCAAATGGGTTTGGGGCAAATGCCCTCTCAGATAGTTTCTGGTATTCAATTCACACAGCTGTTTACACTGACATTTCTATTTTAGCAGTCGGTGCTCTCCAGGCTATTTGATCAAGATGAAGGTCTGCGCAAGCACCTTCACACGAATTCATTTTGGTGTGTGCACAGGGTCGAAAGCAGAGAGAAAGCAAATTACTTTGTTTTCAGCATCGCAAACAAAGCTGCTGCATCCAGGAAATCAACAGCTGAGCTCACAACTTGCAGGTGACTTACACCTCTGTCCCACACAGGATAGAGTCACAACCCTTAGTAGTCCTGGTGACAAAGGCAGCCGGGACCAGTGATGGGAGATGTTATCTTCTCAGTGGAAAGCTCTGGAACCGTTGCAAATACCTTTTATTTCCAAAATGGCAGGAACCTATTTCTCTTTCCTGCTCCATAAACACTAGCAGCATGCTTGGGGAGAGCACGTATCAATGACCTCAGTATGCCCATAGGTCTTTCCACAGCTCTGTAAGTAAAGATTCTCAGCTGTTTTCTACCTGCTCCACTCATGAAGAGCTTCATGAGTGACCCTTGGTTGTGTCACTTCACAAATATATGTGTCAGATCAGTGTGTTGTGGCAACGGGGTGGCACCTGGCAGTGCAGAATTGCCAGGGCTTCCTGCCCCTGAACCACTGAAGACAGTGGTGCTTGGTTATAACAAGTGCACTCCTAGAAGAGGCACTGGAGAACCTTCAATCTACCTTCACACACCCTTGCAATATAGACATGAGTCAACAAGCACAGCATGGGTACAGACAAGACCAATGGAACATGAACTAGGGGAAATATTTCAGTTACAGAGTATCTTGCAGGACTCCAGGCTGCAGGAGAAGACATAGAATGCAACCTTTTTTCAGAGGTACTCGGAGTCTGAGAAGCTGAAAGCCAGAAGCTGGAACATAAAACTTCATCAGCTTTTCTGCAAGATTATGCCGCACAGTTCCTATTTAAGAGGGTTAAGAAACAGCAAACCACGTGTTGGGAGCACTGAAGGTGCCTGGTTCTAGAAGCAACCAGCCTCCCGAAGCAGGATGGAGAATGCATGGGAGGGCTCTAAGCACCAACAAAGAACAGCAAGCGTGCTCATGTTCAGAAATTAATTTGTTGGATCTAGTAATCTCCATCAGTTTCTCCATCAACCTGAATCCCCCGTCAAGTCCTGCTTTCCAGTTCTCTTGAATTCAGAATGATTTGAAGGGAAAGGCTTATCTGCAACAGTCAGATAAGGGCTAGAAGGAAATACTGAAAAGGTGAGAGGCAGAAAGCACGGAGGAAGTGCTACCAGCTGTGACATTACTGGAAGAGACAATTAGTCCCACAGGAAGTTGTTCCCCGTGTGCTTGGTTGCTTTGTGCTCTCATGGATTGAAGACAAGTTCCACAGTCCTGGGACCCAGCAGTGTGTATGAGCTTTGTTTTCAGCAGCAAAGTACAAACAATTCCAGAGGTTTCTGGAGTGCCTTGATGGTAGCTTTCTGGCACAGGTTGTGAAAGACCTAATGAAGAGACACACTCTGCTGGATCTCACACTTACAGAAGAGGAGGAACTGGCTTGGGATATAAAGGTTGGGGGCAAGCTTGGCTGTGGTGACTATGAGATGCTGGAGTTCAGGATCTTGTGAGGAGGGAGCAGGGAAAATCCCAGGATCACAACCAGAGACTTCAGGAGACCAGACATTGACTGATTTGAGGATTTGCTTGGAAGACTCCCTCAGGAAGACTCATGCTTACCTGATTTGGTTCTGTATCAATCACCAAACCATGTGCTGGTGTCCTTGCTTTCATTCCAGGACATCAGCTCAGCCAATATGTAGTAGCAGCATTTTTGAAAGCATCTCCAGCCCATCATGCAGCATAACCAGCCTTGCACTGGGTAGTGATAGAAGCCCACAGAGTGAATGCTACTAAAAAGACAAAGAGGGAATATGGCCTGTTTTCTGGAGAGCCACCAAAGGCATGAGGACAATGCTGAACTGTTCTCTACAGGTTGTTACCCAAGCAGATGACCATACCACTAGCCATGTGCCCAAATAAGCTACAGGAAAAAGCCTGTCTCATTGCAAAGCCAGCATCTTTGGCAGGCTGTAGTAATTGAGAAAAGTTTCCTATGCCTTGAAAAGTCAAACTGAGCACCTTTTGGACTGTATCTCATATAAGGAGAGGCTGAGAGAGTTAGAACTGTTCAGCCTGGAGAAGAAAAGTTCGGTGCTCACCAACTGCTTGAGCATATCACTTCCACTCAATATTCCCACCCAGCAGAGTGCAGATGCAGGCTCCAGCATTCACACCCATTCAAAAAATCCTCTGTGTTCTTGTCAGGACACTGCTGGTCTCTCAGTCTCACTCAGGATGAGGTTTACTCCCCCATGAGTAGCTTCAGAGAGGATGCCTTCAGCACCAGAACATGGGGAAATCACAGCATCTCTTTCCTGAATGGCCAGAGCCACCAAGGGAGCTCCAAGTCCTTGTCAGGACTTGCCCAGGAGACACAGGGCTGCTGACACAGCAGCTGACTCAAAGCGGGCAGTGCCAGGAGGGGTGGCACCATCCCTGAGCAGGTAGAACAGCGCCCAGGGAGTGTGTCGGACAGGGCGGGCAAACAGAGCGCAGTGTGGCAGCTTGTGCAGCAGTTCATATGGGCAGCGTGAGCAGAAAGGGCCCAGAAACCCTGCCAGCTTCAGAGGTGAGCTCAGCCAGTGGTCATCGAGAAGGTGCTCAAGGATGGCGTCCTCTCGGCAGAAGGCAGAGAAAACAAAGTTCTCTCAGAAAGGATGTGGCAACCAAGACGGGGGTCTCTTACAAACATGTAGCTGTCCAGGCGGCTGGCTGTAGCGAGTGCCAGAGCCTGTCGGCAATGTCAGATCTAGGGGACAAGGGAGCTTGGAAGCAGATTACTTCTCAGAGTACATGGTGTTTTACCCCCCACCTTGTCACCTTCCCAAGTATCCCTCTACAACAGATACGAGACCCTGGTGCTTGAGGATCAGGAAAATGAGGAATATGATGAAGTAGATAAGGGATCATCCAAGTTAGAAGAGTCGCCATGGGGGAGTCAGACCTTGTATCATGACCAAATCTACTAGGAAAAAAAGAGTGGTTGTGACTGGTGACTCCGTCCTGAGAGGAACAGAGGGCCGATATGTCAACCCAACCTGGCTCGACGCAGGGAAGTGAAGGCTGCTGCCTCCCTGGGGCCAGGCTCAGCAACGTCACTGGAGAACTCTCTCATTGGGTATGGCTTAATGACTAAACCTTACCATTGGGGAGGTCTGTGTTGTGTATGTGCAAACATACACCTTTTTCTTCTAGCAGGTTTCATTCAGAACCAGGCTGCTCATGCTGTTTGTGTTTGTGTCAGTGCTTTCTCTCTGTGTTGACCTGTGTGGTTGCTTGTATGTATACTTCTTTTTTCTTCCATATCTATCTATGTATGTACATATTGTACATACACGCTCAGTCTCACTACCATCTGGAGCTGGGGACATAGAGCTGCAGCAGCCTTGCCTCTGCTGGGCTATGGGATCTAGCTCCGAGTTGGGAAGAGAGACTTCTTCCTCAAGGTGACACTAAAGGCTCCAGTCGTTTTGCTGGTGGGGACGGCTCCTCACACTTGGTCAAAGCATGGCCTGACCTTGGTGAGACTCCTGGCACAAGCTCCTGTAACTCTCTGGGGCAAGATTTTCCACCATGGAAACAAATCATAGAATCATATAATGGCTTACGTTGGAAGGGATCTTAAAGATCAAACCCAATACTCATAATACCCCTAGAACTGGTTTCCCGTACCCAGTCCCCTCCATAGCTTTGGCTGTTTGCAATGGAACTGTGTAGCCAGGTTGTCTCTGAGGGTTTTACTCTCATTGGGTGGATGCACCTTTTACTGTAGTAGTTGCTTAAGGCTGTATCCTGTCACAGCAACATCTTTTGATTCTGGTCCTGCCCAAACAAAACCCCTACATACTGTGAGAGGAGATAAGGTCCCTAAGGTGCATATCAGGAAGTGTCTGGGGAAGGTGGTGTGGATTGCTCCTCCCACGGGAGTGCATCTAGAGCAGGGTCACAAAGATGGTCAGAGGGTTGGAGAACCTCTCCTGTGAAGAGAGGCTGAGAGAGTTGGAGTTGTTCTGCCTGGAGAAGAGAAGGATCCATGAAGACCTTGTAGCAGCCTTAGAGTAGCTAAAGGGGCCTACAAGAAATCTGGAGAGGACTTTTTACAGGGCATGTGGGGACAGGACAAGGGGGATAAGCTTTACACTGAAAAAGGGGGGATTTAGATCAGATGTAAGGAAGAAGTTATTCCCTGTGAGGGTGCTGAGGCGCTGGCACAGGGTGCCCAGAGAAGCTGTGGCTGCCCCATCCCTGGCAGTGTTCAAGGCCAGGTTGGACACAGGGGCTTGGAGCAGCCTGCTGTAGTGGAAGGCATCCCTGCCCATGGTAGGGGGTTGGAATTAGATGAGCTTTATGGTCCTTTCCAACCCAAAATGTAGCACCCAAAAAGTAGGACCTTCTATAAACAAGCACTGAAAAACTACACCCCACAGAACCTTTTTCATTGGTCTGATACTGTATTTTCTCTTGCATAATAATCAGTAATTGTTCAGCAAAACCAGTGCAACTGGAGATCATTCTCTGTGTGACTCAATAAAAAGCAGGCACCTCTGCTCAAGGAGACAAAGGAAATAGCAGCTCTGAACATCTGTCTTACATTCCTGTGTCTTCTTTCTGGAGAACTCAACCTCTTTTCAGCCAGTGGCTGCTGGACCCACTCAGAGAGAAGAGGACACAAGAACCCAGCACCTGCTCTGATGACCCTGAGCCTTCATGTATTCCCTGAGCCATCATGTGCACTGGGGATGCTGGACACAAGGTAATATGACTTCCACTCACATCATCTCACCCAAAGCAAGTGAAGACGAAGGCTCCAGAGTTCCCCACCCCTCCCAACACAGCTCTGCTACCAGCTCATTGCTCATGTCCCAGTTTTACTCAGGATAAGGGTATCTCCATCACACAGTTATTGCTGCAGCTTCACAAATTCTGTTATGACTGTTACATGGGACATCATTCCAGTTGTTGAGTGGTCTTGAAGTCCGATGGATTACAACGCACTTCTCGTGATCTGTATTACTTGGTTCACCTTCCCGCCAGAACCTGAGATAGAGACAGACATGTAACTCCCCAGCGTGCCCTGTAGAGCCCTGCTGGAAAAGGCCACAGTGGGATGCAAAGTTTGGAGGGGAGAGGGAAAATTTCCAGATGCTGATTCATGGACAGAAGCAGTGCTCTTCCTCCCACTCAGATATCCCACTGGCACCAGTTTCATATGGAAACTTGCCTTCTTCCTACAGCAAACACAACAGGGCCCTGCTCAGTCCTGACAGGGAGCTGCTCACCACTTCTTCACATCCAGCAGAGGCATGTTTCTGCCTCCAGGGCAAGTTTGTCCTTCAGAAGAAGACACAGCAAGGACAGCCCTGGTGATCACTCCATGTGCCCCATGACTTCCACAGCATCAGAGCACTGGCATGCCTGTGTATACACGTGCACATAGGCATGGTGGGAGCACTGTGGAGGTCAGACAAGGCTGGTCATCTCCGAAGGGTTGTTCTTGCTGGCAAGATGTGGCTTCTTCTGTGCCCACAGCATTGATGGCTACATCAGAGGCAGTTAATTAATAACCAATAACCAGCATTGATAGGGCCATGTGAACCTAGTGTCCTACACAGCCCATGCCTGCTCCTCATGGACGTCTCATCAGGAATTATCTCACTTCCCTCTCAAGTGCCAACAGACACCCTCACATCTCCCCTACTTTCTCCCACTACAGAAGCCACACCAAACACTCTCCATCTGGGAGTACTCACGCTGCTGACACATTAAATGGAGTCTGGTCCACCCAGTGCCACTGGCTCACACTCTGTGCACTCAGACCAATGTAGTGGTTCTCTCCTCTCGAAGGCTTTTTAACTTCCTTAGAGAGGAAATCCTGGAAATGAGGAGAAGTGCAATGTCCATGAGATACAGGACTGAGCAGAAGGAGGCAGCAGGAGTCCCTGTGGAGCGGGGCTGGTGGCAGAGGGGAGCTGGTGCTGAAGGGATGCACAAAGGACATCCCCCCTCCCTTGCAGGACAAAGAGGGGCTGAGTCCCCTCCCGGGCTGGCACTGGGGCTCTGGCTGCTGTGCCCCCTCTCAGCCCTGCACATACCTGCTCTGCTTCGCTGTTGATCACCACGAGGTGAGAGCCCATCCCAGTGCAGTTCTGCTCGCTGGCAGCCCAGGACATCGCATCACCTGAGATAAAGTAGCAGCTTCCTTGGAAGCGTTTCCAGCCCTTCGGGCAGCACGTCCAGCCCTCCTCTGTGCAGAGAGAAACAGCAGAGGTAAATGCTAAGAACAAAAGAGATGGCAATTACAAGGATCCTTGTTCTCCAGGGACACTCACAGAATCCCAGACTGGTTTGGTTGGAAGGGACCTTAAAGCTCATCCAGTTCCAACCCCCTGCCATGGGCAGGGACACCTTCCACTAGAGCAGGTTGCTCCAAGCCCCGTCCAACCTGGCCTTGAACACTTCCATGCCACCTTCTCTGGGCAACCTGTTCCAGCATCTCCCCATCCTCATAGTGAAGAATTTCTTCCTAATACATAATCTAAATTTCCCCTTTCAGCTTAAACCCATTCCCCCTTGTTCTGTCACTACAGTCCTTTGTAAAAAGTTCCTCTCCAGATTTCTTGTAGGCCACCCTTAAGTACTGGAAGGCTGCTCATGTTCTCCTTAGATCACTTATCCTGACAGAAAGTGCTTGAAAAAACAAGGATAGTACAGATATTTCTTGCTGTTGCTTTGAGGCATGACCAGTAACCTTTGTGTACACAAATGCTTAGTAATCCGGTCTCGACAAAGTCACTTTTAGTGATCTGGTTTGCCTTCTCCTTTTACATTAGGCCATTAGCCACAGGGAAGAGGGGATATTGCTTCTTTCCCTGACTAGAGCTGCACTTTTAATATTGCTCCGTTGTTAACCTTTCCTTTACCGCCATATGGTGTCCCTTTTGCTTTGGCAGTGTTCACAGCCACTCTGTCCTCCAGGACATCATTAACATGTCACTCTACTTTCCATAAGCTGTTAGCAGGAAATCCTTTTTCTCCCCACCTCTCTCCACAGGAGTCTGCCTCTCTGGAGTCTGGTCCCACTGTCACCTGCTGCCAGAGCAGACCCCAGCATTGACTGTTCCTATCCTGCACCTCTGCCAGCACTACTGACCTTTGCCTTCTGGCACTGCTGAATCACACCACCACTCCTTGAATTTCTGCTTCAGGGCTGCAGGCTGATCACTGCTATGGGAGAAGGGAGCGACTGGAAAGGGAGAGGAAAGGCAACAGGATTACACCTTCCTCCCAGCTCATGAGACAGTCTTCCATGTCAGAGAGCAGAAGGACCACTGGAAGGACATTGGCACTGAGATGACGAGCAGGGTGGAATTGATTCCATCCAACCACGGGCATTTACATAATAGACATCTGCATTACTTATCACACCCTGATCAGCTTCCAGTCCATAGCCCTGAATGTTTGAGTTAGTGATAAGTCCTTTGGGTTGTTGTGTGGCCTGCTGACACCTATCACACTAACATGTGGGACTCGGGAACTAATGACAGCAAAAGGAAGGGCAACAATTTATCCTTACAATGTGCTTCTTCCAGAAACCATCATCTTTACTGACAATTTGTACAAACATGCCATGAATGATCTTTCACAGCAAATGAGAATGAAACAGTGATTGCAATCTCCACAAAGTGTGTGTGCAAGAATAACTATTATTCTAGCATACTGTACGACTCTTGGAGGTGCCAGGACTGTGAAAAGCCATTTTTTCCATTAGTGTGTCCAAGCACCTTAGAAAGCTCAAGTGCAGGTTCAGATGCCTGTACACTTGTGCTCCCATCTCCATTTCCCACAACCCCTCATCCCTTTCATAAACGTAATTAAGTTCTTTTTTTTGTGGTATGAAGATAGAGAATTGTTCCGCGGTTCCAAAGAGGCTCTGCTAGATGGGGATGTGCAATCACTGAAAAAATTATGATCATCAATCAATCTGGGAACACTGAAGAGGCCTTAGGGCAAACAGTGGAAGATTTGGGAGATATATGCAGACATATGCAAAGTGAGACCTCATAGAAAGCCCCAAAACCCCTGAAATTCTGAAGATGGCCATGCTTCAACTAGTCTAGAGACCTCCAGAAGCCCCTTCCCACCTAATTCTGCCATTCTAAGAGGATGGGTATAACAGAACCATATGCCATAATGCTGTCATAGTCCAAGCTCCTGCAAACCAAACCAAACATCTTGTTTGCCTGGTTTGTGTCATGTCACAACTGTACCCTTAAATCCCTAATGTTTAAGTGGTCAGGAAAGATTTTTCTCCTAAACATGCATTTCAAATATTGAACATTGAGGTTTTCTGAGTCCAAATGTTGGTGCTAACATCCTTTCTCATGACAAAACCATTCCCGAGAAAAAGCTCTCTCCTGGTTAGAAGATATTCCCCTCTGGGCTCTGATTTCTTTCCCAACACTTCCTCTAGACCTCTCTCTTGTAACCAGCCTACATCATACTCACCAAGGAGAACAGTAACAAGGGCAATGCACACCAAGAGGAGCAGCAGTGAGATCAGCCATGGGAGCCATAGTGGGTATTTCTGGGGATGGTGCTCATGCTTCTTTGTCTCAGGAGGTACTGGAAGTGAAGGAACACACCAAACACAACACCACGGTCAGCTGTGCTTCTGCCACTTCACATACCAAGGGTGTAAAACTCAAGGGGGAGCTACTCCAAAAACATGCGATTTCAGTTCAGACGTGGAAGTTACACAGCACGGGAGAGGGGCAGAGTGGGACAGAGCAGGGGTCCTCGGTGGTTTCTGGAAGTCAGGTTCGGCGGCAGTGTTCTCAGCCCCAGACCAGCTAATGAGCTAGGAAGGTTAATTGCTGGTGTTTAGGGCCTTCACATAGCCTCAAAATCTGGAGTGAAACCATGTCTTTCTAGATTACACCCAAAGCTGCCAAATACAGCATTGCTCTAGTCATGATACTTGAGACATTCACATGAAGATTTCATGTTTACTTCTCCCCAGAAAACCTTTTATGCTTGCCTCAGTTCCTTCATAGCTTTTTGGACTTCCTGCGTAGAAGGTTGGTGTAAGCCAAACGAGGACAGGAGACAAAAAGTGTGCAAAGCTCTCATGTCACAGAATCACTAGAACATTTAAAACAAAACAAAACAAAAAACCCAGCCAAACCCAAGCAGAAAAAACCCCTTCTATGCCTGCTTTCTGAGCTGTGGTTCAGTGACTTGCTGTAGTAAAACCAGGTTGTGCTAGGCTGGATGCCTGGGGAGAACAGAGGGCTGTGTTCGGCAGCCTCAGTAAAGCATTCCGCTCAGATTCAGACTTGCCAGGGCTTGGCTTTTCTCTAGAGGGATGCTGCCAGAACTGAAGAGGTTTTGGGAGCAGGCAGAAGAATAGGTCAAAGGGAAGGAGAAGCAAATACTTGTAGGCGACGGTTCTAGGTTGTGGCAGGTACACAAGCCAGGGCAAACAGGAAGGTAAAGCAACAAGAGCACTCAATGCAGGACAGGAGTAAATAAGTTTTGGGAGAGACTGCTACTAACAATAAGCTTTAGAGAGACCTCATTCATTGTTCTGCATGAAACTCCCAAGTCTGCCAGCAGCCACGTGTGCCTGCCACCCATGCCTAGTAAGCAAGACTTCCAGAAACCTGCTGTTTGGGGAAGCACTCTGACTACTTCCCAAAGGCTTGGGGGAGATTGCTACAGTAGGACAAAAAGCATCATCGTTCATTATCAGAAAACATTCATAAACAGACAAGACCCAAATTTATGTGGCCAAATCATGTTTTTCTAGCCAGAGCTTTTGTCTGCAGGGAAAACAAGGACCTGGGTCACGATCTGAAGTCCAGCCATCTACTTCAGACGGTAGATCTGATCAGTCCAAGTGATTTTTTGATGTGCTGCATGTCCATAGATTGACTGTTCATTCTGTGCACCCCACACTCACACCCAGGTGGCACAGAGAGCACTGCCAGTATGTATGCACCTCACACATACACAACTGAAGCGCAATAGATCTTTGCATACTCAGTGGGCTAATGGCCTTGCAACATGCCTCCTACGGTTAAGTCTACATGCTTGCAATGTGTCCAGCATGATCACAGTACAACAAACCTGAAAGCATATGCTGGTTATTCAGCATGTAACTCCAACATCTCCTAGGCACATGTAACCTGGTTGGAAACGCAGCAAGCCTAACTGCACTGTGGCGTGAAAGCCACTCTGGTACTCTCTGCTATCTCCTGCCACAGATTACATGTTGCTTGGTTAGCTGCTGCCTTCTCCTCTCTATCTTACAATGACTGCCAATTTTGTTGTATCTTGAGTCCAACTGGAAGAGGCTACAAAATGGGAAAACCCAGGTGTGCTTGGCCATTACCAGCACGGAGTCTGCATGGCCAGCACAAGCACTCAAAAGGACTATAGAGCAGCAAGACTGCCTCAATCTTTCAACAATTTTCAATCATAACTCTCATCCTATGAGCATAACATGAGGCTGTGTGAGAGATATTAGCACTGCATGCAGTGGTACTACTGGTCATTTCTTTGAATTCAAAGCTACACACCCAAACCTATAGCATCAGCAGCATGAGCAGCTCATGGAAACATGGCTGGATAAAGTTCTTTGGAATAGGTAATCAGGAACACAACTAAGAACTTCCACCATCGCCAGCTCACCAGGATGGAAATGCTAGCTGTAACCAGAACCAGCTCATCTTGGTGCATTGAAAACAGTGACCTTTCAAGTCAGTCAGGAGTATGCACGCTCTTTATTTCCATGACTCATGGCTCAGAGCAGGCAAGAAATGTCCTGGAGCTGATGCCTGCTCTGTTTGGAATTATAAAACTAAGATAAAGTGGTAGATAGGCACCTTAATAGCCTTAGCAGCAATAAACAAATATTTATTCATTCATTCCTTCATTTACACACACATACTTCAACTGCTTTGGAACCTGCTGTTGTGTGGGGTCCTGTATCTAAGGGTGGAAGAAATAAGCCACACATGGAACATCCCTATGTGTTCCTGTGTGTGGCATAGTGATTACACAATACATACTGTTCAGAACATGACTTAAATTTACACAAAACCCAGAAAAGGCACTGTTTTACAGGCAAGATTTTTAATAGCCATAAAAGTTTGTTTGATCAATGCATTAATTATTTTTCAGGAGTGGTAGACATCAGTCACAGAATTGGATCTTTCCACAGATCTTAGATAGGGTGATTTGTTCAAGCTCATTCTTCCGTGTAACTGCGGGTCTCTCTTCTCCAAGGACCATTTCTCACTTCTCAACCAAGAACAATGGACGACATAAGTTTCTGCATTCAGTGCCACTTCTCACAAAGCTGCAGAGGACAACTGACAGCTCTACTATAAGGAGGCATGTTACTTCTCTGCTCCTACTCTTTTCATGAGCAGGAATCTGTAGCCTTACTCTCAGAGAGGCAAGAGCAGTAGCAGCCAGGACTTGGGCTTATTTGCTGTCATTTGCTGCCCCAGGAGCCACTGAACCTTTGTGGCAGGTCAGATTGCTTGTAATAAATCACAGTCTCTATTGGTACTCAGCATTTGTCCAAAAATTACTCTCTCATCCAAGACTATATAACATGTAAGGAGGCAGCTACTACTTGCATTGTACCAGGGCTAAGCACTATTATTGTACAGCAGCCATCCTGGACCCTTTACCATTCACCACTGTTAGTGTTGCAACCAGGGAGCCCAAATACTTTCCTTACTGAATGCTCACTTGAAACCCAGTGTTTGTGCTCCCAGTAGTCAGCTTTGTTCATGTAGCTAAAGATGACCACCTCTCCTCTTGCAGACATTCCTTGACCCTCTTACTTCAAAACTCCTCCAGTCTCCTGCTCATGTAGTGGGAAGCAACTCCGTTTTCTCAACAATTTGTCGAGACCGGGTAGGAAGCAGAGTCACAGAAATCAGTCTCTATTCCCTGTTTTTCAGTCCCCCTCTCTCCAGATCCCCCTCCCCTGAATAACCCATCCTTACCTTTGACCACTGCAGATGGCGATGTATTCTGGAACTTCACCTCAGCATAAGTGATTTCTGATGCCATTTAATCACAGCGTGATCACTGGCCCTCTCCTTCGTTTTGCCACATAAAACGTGGGTCTTTTAGGTGCCTGGTTCCAGAGGGAGACACCAATAAGTTACTGAGCCTTTCCCATCTGCTCCTTCACCTTCTGTCTGTCAAAGGTGGCTGTGCCGAACACTGGAAGTACTGGTGATAACAATTCCTGGGAATTCAGAAACGCTCTGTTTCTTAGCCCAGGACATCAGACCTGACACTATGGAAGCTTCTGAGGGAGAAAAGAAAAATGAGAAACTAACAACTGGAAAGGAAGTTGCATTCTCACTTCCCCACAACAGATTCTCAGCTGATAAGTTTCCTTTTTAAGATCTCTTAGTTTGTTTTTCTTTTTCCATCCTTCTTTTTTTAACTCTCTCTCCTTCCCTTATCTTTGTGCCTTTCTTAGTCTGTTACTAATTCTATCATTGCTCTTAGGTTTGCAGCTATCACAAATCTTAGCCAAGTTTAAGCTGCGGCGCATCTGTGTATAAAATGCATTCTGCCCTCACTTGTCATTTGTGGTTAAGCTGCATTTGCTACATCAAATATTGCATGCTATATCTCATCTTGGGAAGTCAGCCCCAGTCGGCAATAGAACAAATCACGAAAGTGGAACTGCCTCAAAAGTGAGACTGGGGAATTTCAGCCTTATGCAGAGGAACAGAAATAATCAGAAGTTTAATATATCCAAGGAGAAATAGAGATAAATGAGGCCAGGGCTAGGGAGGAGAACAAGCAAGCAGGAAAAAAAGAAGTAAAATGGTGTTGCTGATTTTGGAGGTTGTTGGGAAGAGCACACACAGAGACCTTTCTACCCCAACCTGTGGAATTCAGACCAGTACTTGCTTCAGGGAGTCAGGCTCCATTTCTGAGGCTGAAAAGGGATGATTTATAATTTTTTTCTCCAACTGTCGTTTATCTCCCTTTCCTGCTTCCTGGTAAAGGCCTCTGATGTTACCTCAAGGAAAACGTCAGACCACTGCTCAGTCTGACTTCAAGCTGGGGCAGATGTTTAAAAGAGACATTTAAGGGAAATGGCTGCTGAGATGCACGCTGAATCGGAAAAACTTCCGAGAGGAAATGCCAGTGAGTCAGGATACCCTGGAGAAAAATGGTTCAGTCAGCAGATAGGCCTCAGGAATCACAGAACAGTTTTGGGTAGAAGGGACTTTAAAGCTCAACCAGCTCCAACCCCTGCCACGGGCAGGGACACCTTCCACTAGAGCAGGTTGCTCCAAGCCCCTGTGTCCAACCTGGCCTTGAACACTGCCAGGGATGGGGCAGCCACAGCTTCTCTGGGCACCCTGTGCCAGCGCCTCAGCACCCTCACAGGGAAGAATTTATTCCTTATAGGTAATCTAGATCTAGCTTCTTTCAGTTTAAAACCTGTGCCCCTTGGCCTGTCACTACAGATGAGGGTAAAAAATCTCCATCTTTTTTATAAGATCCTCTAAGTATTGAGAAGCTACAGTAAGGTCTCCGAAACAACCAGAAAGGAGGAGGAGGAGAAAGCTTTGCTTGGTTAGTTTGTCTAGATGGAATTTCTTCCTTCCTGAACTGAGATGCTCGCAGGACATGCAGGCGGCTAGCCCAGAGGGTACACAGGGCTGAGTTGGGGTGAGATAGGACAGTGCAATGAAGAATATGCATCAGACAATAGAGGAGAACAATGCAGCAGAAGGTAAGGGGCAAGGAAGGGAAGTAGTGCATGTCTGTCACACATTAGGGAGACTTTGCCCCTGAACGGAACAAGGCATACATAGCTGGATCTCTTTACCAAGGGGCCTCCTCGTGCCTCGTGTGTGCTGAGCTGGCTTCACTTCTCCTTTTTGTATTGTGTGCAATGACTGCGAGTTTTACAGAACAGCAGCTGCAGGACAGAAGCCTGGTCCCTTGAGAAGATGCATGCTGCCTGCTTTTCTTTCCAGCATCCTTCCAGCACTTTCTTTTGTCTTCAGGCTTGGCCTTCTCACAGGAATTAAGCTTCCCAAAGTGTTTGCTGAAACCTAGTTGTGCTTCAAACTGAGATTTCAGTCAGAGTAATCCTCTGTGTGCTTCCTCCTGTTCCAGCCAAGCAAACCACAACAGGGGAAAAGGCTTACTTCCCAGCAGGGTTTCAAGCTTTCTACCATGAAGAAATACAGGAAATACAATCAGCAGATAGAGAAGGAAGTCACAGTGTAGCTTTTTGCCATTGAAACACATCTCCAAACACAGCTGAGGCATTTAAAATGCAAATTCAGGATCAAGCTGTTGATTTTATTAGAATACACTAGATTATGCTCAGACATCAGGAGACAGCTCAGTTCTTCCTTCTCAGCCAGAATTCAACCCTGAATCATGCTTCCCATGGGATACAATGCTGGGTAATATTCCTAAGGGTAAAACTTGTGCTTTGAATTTTATATGCACTGATGGCATGTAAATGGAGAACCAAACAAAACCACACAACCCAAAAACCACAAAAAAAAAAAACCCCACCCAATAATAACAAACCAACCAACCAACCAAAACAAAACAAAAAACCACCCAAAAAAAAAAAACCAAAACCCAAACCACCACCAAAAAACCCCTCGCACTTTGTTTCCTTGCATTCCCCTAGCTGTTCCTCAGGTCCTCCCCTTCCACCTGTGTTCTACCCACCCCATGTAGAACATCCTTGTCCTCCCACAGTGCCTGTGTTTCCCCACAGGTATCTTTCATCTAAACCCTACTTAGCACTGCCAGGTACCTCCCACTCCCCTGATTCCCACACACCTCGCAAGCCCCAGCTCCTTTCTAGGACTTGTGTTTGCTCAACACAACAGTCCTGTTTTCCCTTCCTTACTCATGCTCCAGCTGCTGCCTTTAGCTGGTTGCTGCAAGCTGTGTGAGTACCATTTGGCTAGCTGACCCAACCAGAAAGCAGCAGAGGCACTAACACTCTTTCTGCCCTACCCATTGATGAAGTTTGGGTAAAGCCTTTCACCTCACAGCCAGTTTCACCCAATTTAGCAAGCAGGTCCATCCATGTAACAGCAGAGGAGACAGCACCAGTGCACATGCCTTCTTTTGAAAATCAAGCTGAACCAGGTGAGTTAAAATTGAGCTCATAAGCAGAGAGAAGGACTTGAATCCTAAAGCTGGGATCCCACACATTCCTAAATTAAAAAAACCCTAAAAAAATCCCCTCTGGAAGTTGAGCGCGGCTGTGGTGGAAGCTGCAGGGAAATGAGACACTTGTTATAAACCAGCCAGCATATGGAGAGGGGCAGCTGAGCAAATTTAGTCATCACAAGTGGCACAGAGGTTATACAGGGACACCACATCAGCAGCCCAAAGCCAATACCTAGTACCTCTTCAGAGGATTTGACAAAAGGCAAAATGAAGCTGATGTGGCTAAATTGTCAAGCCAAAGGTATTCTCAGTGTGCATTCTTCAATAAGCTGACCTTACATCCAAATGAGGAAAATTGAAGTGATCATAACCTCCTGCAAGTGTTAAAGCACAAGAAAGCAAAGGTGAAAGAAGAGTCTGAAAAACACTAGCAGAAACCATCAGAACTAATCCTTTCCTATAGCTAATGAAAGCAGAAACCTTTTCACAAGGTTTGAGGACAACAGAAGAGCAGGGTAAAAAAGAAGCAGCCAGAGAGAACAAGGACATCAACACAAAGCTAGAGTAATTATCTGTGACAGTGGAAGAAACTGGAGAAATTAGTACACAAACCCCATGTTTTGTGGGAGACTAAACCGAAGAACCTGTCCGAAATAAAAGTGATCATGCAAAAGGTATGGCATTAGTAGGTCTGGACAAAATGGTCTCAGTGATGAGAGCAGCATGAAGGCTGCTGCTGATGTGGTTCTCATCACTGAGAAGGTTTCGGTTTCCTAAACCAGCTGGGCTGACAGTAGGGTGATGTTTGGTATAAGAGCAGCCTTCTAAGGAGCAGTCTTCTGCTATTTGTGGGGTCTCCCCCTTAGCACAGACACCAGGAAGGCAACTTACTGCATTCTGGAAAGAAAAGCAGACAGCAAAAAAGGCAGAAAGATGGAAATGAGGGGGAAACTTTTCTAACCAAACTGTATTTTCTCAATTTACTGTCATTCATATCCAAGTATTTATCACCACTCAGCCTTATGTGTGGTTTTCTTCAGTTTCTTGAATGGAGCATCGATAACACAAGACCTCTTCCCACAAGACCTATTCAAGCACAGCTCACACACAGTCCTTTCATAAAACTCCGCTCTGATCTTACCCGGACCATAGCTGCCCACTGCAACAACAGTTCTGCATCACCTGCTCTTACGGCACCCTCTAGCTGCCGCAATTCTCCAGGTCCCGCAGATAAGGACAGCCAAAGCCCAGCCCTGGCTTTTTGTCCCTGCACCTGCGTGAGAAGAGCATCAAAAGTGAATGCATGCTGCCCTCTTGGTCTTCCCTCTCCACACCACCTTCCTCCTCTCCTAGGTACAAAGGCCATGGAGAGCAGAGCCCTTGCAGCCAAGGGAAGAGCACAAAAAGGCACGAAAGCATGGAGAATGGGGCCCCAAGGCCTGACATTGAGCAGTTAGTAAGGGATGGCAGGTATTTAATCAAAGAGGTCTTCTTTAGAATTACTGAGGAATTTAGCTGGTTAGAGGGGGTCTAGCAATAAGAGATCCCACTGTGTACCCTGCTGCAAGGAGCTGGTTAGGACAGGATGCTGCAGTTCTCACCACAGGAGCTGAATTCCCCCAGCTCCAGGGGACAGTGATGAAGCACCGCAGCCTGCTGGGACCTGAGAGAAAGGCGTCCTACCTCTGACAACACTGGCCAGAGCTGCAGGGAGAAGAGACCTTTTCTGGAAGGCAGGTACTCCTGCTGATGACAGAAAGTGAACCAGGGAGCCATACAGCCATCCTAGGAGAAATGGGTTATATGGATCTGTGAAACATGAGAGAAAAGGACATTGGAACATCCAGAGGTGAAGAGGAAACAGGGGAGAACAGAATGGATAGTGAGAA